AGTCCTTTCCCAAGCAGCTGTATTACCTCAGAGTGGACACACAAGTTTCACCTCCCTCCAGGGTCTATGGGAGGGAAACCTCATCCCATATTGATAGGAAACAGAAGAAAAATCTAATTCTGGCCCAAAATGTGTGGCTGGAGGTGAGAGCTGACCCTTCCCTCTGGTGTAAGAGCTGCCAGGTCAAGCCTGGGTGGAGGGTGACTTTCTTCAGCAGAGGGAAAAAAGACCCTGATAAGTATGACAGCAAGTAGCAGTTCGGAAAGGGAGGTAAAACAGCAAGACAGCTCAGATTTAAAACTAAAGGTTGTCCTACTGTCTTCTGCCTGAATCTGAGGGTATCACTGCCCAGGATCCCCCAGCACAGCAGCACCAAGGGTCCAGGCAGTAACACATCAACACCCAAAAGTGCAAATAAATCTGATGGTGAATGGAGGTGAGGGGGCAATAAGCTGGATGCAGGGAGGGAAGGGGATGTGTTATTGCTCATCCCTCGCTGGGAAACCCTCATCCATCAAACCCATCGCTCCCTGCAACAACTAGTCCCCACTATCCATCAAGCCTATATTTTCCCAAACTTCCTTTCCCTCCCCACACCCCCCGAAAACACACCAGGGAGCCCTATAGAGCTGGGTCACTGGTTTTCAGGGCTTACCTGTGGCTGGGGTGGGAGCCTGACTGCTGCCACCGTGCACCCTCTGTCCCTCTCTGCTGAGCGCTCCCGGAGAGCATCTGCCGCTCGGCCACTGGTCCCGGTGCCTTTTTATACCTGATCACATCCACCGCATCTGCTGGAGGGAAGGGGGGGCCGCGGAGGGGTGAGAGGGACTGTTCCAGGTACCGAACAAAAGATGAGCAAGCGACAAGTGTGCTCTGGATGCAGCCCCGCGGCTGGAGGTGGGGGGGGGGATTAGCATTTCCCTGCAAAACACAGAGAGCAAAGTTTCCTTGATGATGCTGCTAATTGCGTTTGCAGCTCTGGAACTGGAGGAGGGGGGTGTGTGTGGATGGAGAGTCCTGCACCAGGTACCAGCCAGCCCCAACCACAGTGGATTTGACACAGCTTGTTTGTAACCGGCATGCCGGACAGGAGCATCCGTCACTCCTTGGGCTCTGGCGTGGGAGGGCTTCATGCTCCGATGGGTGCTAAGGATTTGGGGTTGTCTTTCCCTGGGATAAATAGGGATTTGGTTAAAAGCAAATGTCTCGGGATGGCAGCAGCTCCTCAGTATGGGCAGGGGGGGTGCAGCATTGGGCATCTCTGCCTGATCCCAGAGAGCCCTGCGGACCCTGGCTTTGAGGGAAGAAGCAGTGGGAGAATGTTTTCCAGCCTGGGGGTGGCTTTTCCAGGACATGGACAGGTTTACATGGCTTGGCCAAGCTCATTGCTCCCTTTCTGTGCAGAGCAAACCCCAGCCTCTCCACTCAAGCTGGACTAGCTTTGGGCTGCAGATATTTTCCCTGTTGCACAGCAGCCCAAAGCCCAGCAGAACTCATGTTTTCTGTCAGCTTGGCCTTGGCCAAGTTGCAATTGCAAGCTCAATGTGAGTGAACAGTATGCAACTTCAGCAAAGAAAGACAACAGGATCCTGAGGAAACTGAGAGGGAAAAAAGAAGCTTATAGAAGGTGGAAACAAGGACACACAACCTGGGAAGATTACAGGAACGTTATCTGGGAAGCAAGGGACCAGGTCAGGAAAGCTAAGGCCCAGTTAGAACTAAATCTGGCAAGGGACATGAAAGATAATGGGAAAGGCTTCTATAGGTACGTAGCAAATAAAAGACAGACTAGGGACAACATGGGTTCTCTCTAGAAGCTATGGGGAGAAGTGGCTACTCTGGATTTGGAGAAGGCTGAGGTTCTTAATACTTCTTTGCCTTAGTCTTCACTAGCAAATGCTCAGACCACACCACCCATGTCTTGGAAGGCAAACGCAGGGACTGTGAGAATGAAGACCTTAGGCCCACTGTAGGAGAGGATTAGATTCAAGACAATCTTAAGAACCTGAACACGCACAAGTCCATGGGACCTGATGAAATCCATTCACGAGTCCTGAAGGAGCTGGATGGCTGGAAGAAGGGAAATATAACCCCCGTTTTCAAGAAGGGGAAGGTGGAAGACCCGGGAAACTATAGACCAGTCAGTCTCACCTCTGTGCCTTGCCAAATCTTGGAGCAGATTCTCCTGGAAAGCATGCAAAGACACACGAAAAACAACGAGGTGGTTGGTGACAGCCAGCCTGGTTTCACTAAGGGGAAATCCTGCCTGACCAATTTAGTGACCTTCTATGATGGGGCTACAGCACTGAAGGACAGCGGCAGAGCAGTTGACGTC